GAATTTCTATTTGGAGCCATGAAAAAATCCCTATGTTATGATTTGTGTTGTTTGTTGCAGGTGTGAACGGCAAGGTTTCAAAATTTTTTTTAAAAAAATTCTGGACATTAGTGGCAACCGCCACTAAGGCCCAGAAAACCGCCGCTTAACGCCGATAAAGTCGATTTTGCTTGCCTTTGTTGCGGTTAAAACCGCCATTATTCTGGGAATTACTGGCGGTTTAAACCGCTGCACAAAAACGCTTTATAAAAAAGCTACCTCGCCGGTCTTAAAACCGCTACGGAAGGCCGTTGCAGCGGAAGGCAAAAACGGCGGTTCTGCAGCGGTTTAATGACCGCTGCAAATAATTTTGTGGCGGTTATAACCGCCAGGAAAAGTTAAAATTTATGCTGCAAAAACCTTATTTTTTGGTAGTGCCTGTTCTTCTCTTTATTGCATATGAAGGGAAAGGAATAATAGGAAATTTGGCAATTCTTACGCCTCTTTTACTACAATTTGCCACAAAGTTAAAAAAAGCTATTTTTCTCAAAGTCTCTAAGTGGAAAAATAGAGAAGCTCTTTTGGATATGCAATAATGTTGACAAGGTTGATGGTTGGTTGCATTTGAATTTGATGTTTTTGTTTGGAAATGTAGCCCTATTGTTTTTAATCGGTGACTGTATGCTTGCATCTGGCATTAGTTAATTTGTGCCGCCTGGTTGTTTTCTTGGATGGAAATGTTGTTTTTTGTTGGATGGGTGTTTTCGGTGCCTTTCATGATGCCTTTCCATATATTGATTGCTAACCTGGAGAAAACTTGCAAGCCTTGGACGATGATGATTTTTCTTTTTTTTTTTTTAAGTCATTAACCTTGGACGATCTACGGGCAACTAGGGAATCGTGTGGTTGTCTTATTTGAACTAAATATCTATCATGACTACAATCTGAGTGCAGACTATTTTTATTTTTGTGCTATGTAGATTGTTTTATTTCACTTTGGCAATTTTCCAATTCATAGTTTATCTTTGATTTTGGTCTCTTCTATCCCCTCATATGTAGGAGTGCTTTTTTGGCTTCTATTAGCTAGCTCCATTTTTTGGTCGGAGTTTTGCTGCTCATTTTGCTTGTATCTTCTTTTACTTGTAATTTTTCATAGATTAATGGAAAGGGCTGTAATATCAAAATCTGCTCCAGGATCGTCCAGGACGATCTGGGATCGTCCTGGGACGAT